ATTCTCACAACAACAACAAAAAAAACATTATTTGTTGAAAAATTAGAAATTCATTAAAGTTTCAAGTCTAAAATGTCTTTTGATCATTCAGTTTAAGTACAACTTCAAAAAAAGTTCTGAAACATTTCAACTATTTCTAAAATACTGTTCTGTAGGAAAAAAAGGTTTGGAGAAAGTAATTATTGAAATAAAACTTATAATTCTTAAGTTTATTCACAAAAAAAGTAATAATGGTTTATAGGTAAAAATGACAAAACACCATTTTTACATTTGTTGACAGTCATGGTTCTCACATCTTGGGAAGAATGAAATTTCATAGATTTCCCCAGACCATTTGATTATGCTTGTAATGTATCATTTAATTATAATAATATGTGAAACTACAAAACTTTATTTCTTTACTGTTTAATGAAGACAAAATAGGCTGTAAGTTTAGTCAGAGTTTACTTAAATATCATCTTGTAAAGTTTCAATATGATTGGTGATGCTGTTCTCAATTTACTTATATTTATCAGAACATACACAACAAAGGCAGTTTAACCATATGTTTATAATCTTGCATATCAATCACATTTTTAATTTTAATATAATTCACAAAAATGGCATTACAGTATAAATAAAACCAGTTTTTAACATTTGTGATTATTATATTGTGACTTTTAATACATAGAAGGAACATGTTTACTGTTGTACAGTAAAATATTCTTTAACAAGTACATTTCTCATATGCCAAACATTTATAAAAAATATTTACTGATGCGTGCATATACAAAAAAATGTATGAAACTTTCAGTTTCTAACCATACACTACAGTAAACTCATAGTTCTGATATCTCTACAACATCTGCAATCGACTGAGCCAGAGCACATTGTACTATTTTCACACATGCTTTGAAACTGTGTACATTAAGTTCATCTATATCATAAGTATTGAAATCTTTGAATTACTGTGACTAAGTTCTAAATCTTAACTATACATATAGGAAACTTCATACAAAGAATGAGATCTGCTGATAAAACATCTACAATACTTATTGTTGCATTATAATCCTACACCATACTCATAAAGGTTACACTAAGTGTCACACTAGAAGCTCAAGATTAATAAATCTTAATTCTTTTATCATTACCAATCTGTTACAATTATGTCATTGTACCATAATTTTCAGTTTCTTTTAAATATTTTTTTTAGTTTTTCCTTACTCTGAAATCATTGATAACACACTGTAAGATTGGAGTTTCATTAATTTTTTTTTAATCAAAACTAACAACTTTCCTAGTATTATTTATCTTGTTTTTATATTGTAGTTATATAGGCAATTAAGCTACAAGAGAAAAGTTAAGCAAACCCAAATCAAAACTACTTAAGCCTAATGATAATGTCAAGTAGTTTTAAACCTAAAGTAATTAAAACAACCTGATGTAAATTCTAACTTAAGTTGAAAGTTACTCCAATTTGTCATACTATTGTATACTGGTGTGTGTTCTTAAAACTTCAACAGTTTGTTTGATAACACTTTTCACATTATTAATTAACACTATTCAAGCAGAAGAACAAGTTCAGTATCTTTAGTAGTCTTAACTGGAAGTCTTAATATGCTAATATAATTATAGGCTAGCTAACACTACTGAGTGAAGAAATGTTTGACCAAACTCTTATTGCAAGACAATGTCTTAGTTGCTGTTCCATAAATTGATTAAATATCTGCATTGTTGTTTGTTCTGTTCATACTAGATATGAGAAGTGTTATACCAGAACAAGAAAACTAAACATGAAAAAATACATTAAATAAAATTTATACTATTAGAATTAGAACAGAAAATGTCATTTGATATACACTGATTTTGCATATATAGCCATATTATATTTGACATTCTGAATCTCAAATACACCTGCATGCATTAATAATTCATGACTAATAATTTCTAGTGAGTTGTAAATACTTATATCAAAGACAGTTTCATTAAGTTGATTTTTATATTCAATTACAAGAATAATCTGGCAAAAAAAAACACTAAATCCAATTTGTGTATGTTTTCTTTCAACTGAAGTACAAAACACCAAACTTTGTCAATGGATGAATTTTTTTGTAACAAGAAACACTGAAATTTCCACAATCTTAAAGTGAAACTTTTTCATGCATTTAATTTATTATACTGCTTTGGGAACTTTCAATACTTTCATAAATATACATTCAAAAATTGCTTTAACAGTTTTCACAAAACTAAGTTTGGGCCAGCAGAAGAAGCTCAGACATGTCAAACACTGCTGTTAGATGCCTCATGTATTTTATGTTTGAGATAAAGCCTTTTTTTTTTACCAAACCCTAAGAATAGGTTATCAATACTACCAAGTGGCTATTTAAATAGTAACTCTAGTTATAGAGAAATTTGTCTAGATTTTAAAATTGTCTATTGATATTACTAAATAGATTAAAAAACATTGCCTAACAATTTGAAAAGAATTTGGGAAACTACTTACTATGAAAAATTAAGAAAATTTGTTAACAGTAAAATGTGCAAGCAGATGTAAAAGTAATCCACTTTTCAAACTGTGAAGTAGTAGTCAATGTCTAAATATTTTTAAAAGTTTAAATTTATTGGGGAGCAAATAAAAAACATGCTAAGTATCTTTTAGCCCACAGTTAAGCTCATGCAAAGGAAACATTTTTAGTACCAAATCACAAAGAAATGTTAAAATTTTTGAAATCTGAAAATGTATTTCCAATAGATACCTCTATATACAGAAATGTTATTTCCCTCATGCGTCTGCCCATAAGATTTGCATGTCACTAGCCTTGAGCCAACTACCACCTAAATTCACATGTTTAAAACATGTTTAACATGAACTGCACTGATGCATGATAACATCATCATGTGACAACAGCCCTCCACCAGTAAGACAGCAACACAATCTCCATGCGCAGTAACTCCCCTATGCACGTGCACTCATAATAACCTCATTCTTAGACAAGGCAAGACAAAGGTGCACTGGAAGTGGGAAGATAGATGGGAGTGTATGCAGAGGTATTTATCAGAAATACATTTTCAGAGCAGGAAAATGATAACTTCCGAGACAATAACTCACCACTTCACACAGAAATGCTAGAATATCACATTGAAAAAGTGAAGGAGAGAGTAAAAATCTTAAACCTAGATGAGCTCCCAATTGCAAAGGCTCCACAGAGACACACCCATGGGAGCCTACATCTTGTCTTGACCAGGGTATACACTTCACCCGTGAAGAAAGGAAGGGAAGGGTGAAAGAGTCTGAAGTGTTGCAGAGATGAGCAGAATGCGATCAGACCATACAATGTGTGCTCATCTCGACTATACTAAACAGATTCTGGCTACAGCAGTAGAGCACATTAGCTGTGTGAGGAGTAACCCATACTACACTGGCAGCATCACTACTGCCCTACTTCTCATCATAGTGCACTAAGCCCAATTGGTGAAGATTCTCCATGGTCCACCACTCCAACGGCTAGGAAATGGTAAGTGGCAAGGGTTTACCAGGCTCCACTTGAAGCAGAGGGGGGAAAATTCATGCTGTGGAGACCCGAAGAAGTGCCTGGATTCACAAAAAAACCATCACCTGCAAAGGTCTATTACTGGAAATAGTGTAATGGGTGACAACAAAACCTTATTTTGAAAATCAGGCAAGCATGAGCTACAAAAGGGGCAGTCATTTCCCTGGATCAGACAACTGAGTAATTATTTTTCCCACCACATGAATACCTCTAGTAGTCTTGCAAAACAACCCATCTCACAATGGACACTGGTAGAGCCTGGGCAGATGGTTTGAGCACTTTCCGTTACCCCTGGCCCAATGCAGGTTTGGGGAAATAAGCACATCCTAGGAGGCAACAACAGCCATTTGGCATGATCCAGTTTGAAAAAAGGGAGAGAAAGGGAATAAGTAAACATACTCATCTCAAAGATGGTGGGTTAATTGAAAAAGGGCAATCAGGGGAAGTCGAAATCCTGCAGAAGACAAAACAGCCATATGACAAAGATAATGAGCAATGAAGGTGTGGGAAGTTGTCCACACATTTGCCTGGAGGATCTCATCCAAGAGTTAGCAAAGATGAGAAGCTAGAGAGAGAGAGAGAGAGGTGAACAATCTGATATAGAAGAGACAATAAACAAAAAGCCTAGTAAGCATCCATATCTA